TTGGTGCGTATGTTGGCTGTGACTAAGTCATCCAACAGAGCGAGCATGGACTCTGCAACAGGTTCCCCAACAAAGGGAAGGGAATCTGCAGCATAATTGTAAATGATGAGGCTGGCGGCACTGGAAACGGAAGGATTCCCACGACTCTGGAAGTGCTGCAGCAGACATCGGAGGTTCTTGCCAACAATACGGTGAACATGGCTTTCGGCAAAATGGGTTTTCGTCTTGGACGCCAGGGCCATACACCAACGCCGACCTTTGAAGCTGAGTCGCACAAGTCGATACAAGAAACTGATGAACTGCCAGAAAGAATGTTGTGAAATTGGGTCTTTGTTACTTCTACCCCGCCAATGTTTCCCAAAAACCATATATTGAATTGCATGATATACTATCCACTGTGGCCCTCACCGAAAAACCGATATAACTCTGCTTAGGTTGCGGGTGCGGATCATGCACATGAGGGCAAGAGGCACTCGTAGAACTTCTGCTGCGTGGCATCACCTCCAAAGGCTGCCGCGAAGGATGTATCCGGGTTGCGGATGAAGAGCTTCATCATTTTCGCAAAAGCAACAATTGTTTCTGGCCTGCGCAGCACAGTTCACTGTATCGCGACATGCCATGCAAATGTCACAAGCATACACAGGCCAAAGCTTCTTCTCAATCAGGAGAGCAGCTCCATGACTGACGTGCTTCATGTTGAACTGCGTTTAACTAGGTGACCCTCTATTCAGGATTTTGCCATTTTTGGGCGATGTCTATGATGCGCAAAAACATCGGCCGGATTTTGTTTTGCATATTCTGCTATAGCGGTCAATCAGAAATGGCATCCAGTAGAGGACAACGGAAGCAACTCAACTCATCTTAGTAGGCTCGAAGCTTAGGATGAAGGAAAACGACTTCAAAATGGAGGGCCTTTAAAGTGATCGGGGTTAAGTTTCGAGGTTTTGGGATCCCCTAAGCCTAAACCCCCTAAGGCTCTACGTGCCTCCAATCCCTCCTGTTGGAGTGCTACGTACTACTGTAGCTTTACTACTGTACACAATGCCGCTGCTACTGCTACTGTTGCTGCTACTGCTACTGCTACTGCTACTGCTACTGCTACTGCTACTACTGCTACTGCTACTGCTACTGCTACTACTTTGACTACTACT